GCCTGCCTGCGGACAGACGGGACAAGGGGGCGACATGAGTGTAAGTGAGAAAGAGCAAGTTTTTCTTCTCGCTTACACTCATGTCGCCCCCTTGCCCCGTCTGCCCGCAGGCAGCCGAGCTATGACCGCTCCATTAAGGCCTTTCTTCAATATTTTCCTAAATGTTTGCGTTGCGTGACTGACGCGTTGGTTTTCAAGCGCAGTGACATCAGCAAAGCATTGATACCAATCGCGAACAAAAAGTTTGGTTTATGTTCCTCTTATTCCTGTTTTCCAACTTTACAATTTTTAATGCAAATGTTTCTCGACGGCTTTTAATAATTTTAGAATTTTAATTATTTAATATTTATAATTAAAAAATACAGTCTCTTAAAATCATAAACCAAACTTTTTGTTTGCGATTAAAATCAATGCTTTGATGACGTCACTGTGCTTGCGAACCAACGCGTCAGTCACGCAACACAAACATTTAGGAACATATTGGAGAAACGCCTTTATAGTTGAGTATTCTTACGGAGCATTTACACCTTTGGTAAAAAAATTTTTTATTTTTGAATTTTCCGAAATACACAAACCTGATTGGTTGTTCACAATCTGATTGATAATGGACAACCAATCAGATCTTTGCATTTCCGAAAATCAAAATAAAAAATTTTTTTTACCAAAGGTGTAAATGCTCCATTATTATTACTTCGTGTATGCATAGTGGCATTCAGCAAACAGTGTGAGTATGCCTTCATGCATTAAGGTGGCGTATAGGCGCTTCCGTAAAGGTGCGCTAAAAATCCCAATTCGGAAACGACCATAGTCCGTATCGTATCCGAATTGAGGTTTTAATGATGATTCTACACTCACCTAAAACTGTGCAAGCGGTCCGAATTTGCGTAACGTTTTATATATATATAGTTAAATATGGAAAGCGTCACGGAAAGCGGAGCGTAGAATCAGCATTAGCTCCTTTTCGATAAAGGCCGTTTCCGAATTGGGATTTTTGTCGCACTTTTGATAAAGCGTATTGTAACGAGCGACTATATTCTCGCTCGAATCATTTCGAGGTATCGAATGAACGATACGATATGATTAAAGTTACGATTTAAATAACCTTAAATAAGTGTAATTATAAAACATTTTATATTACTCTTAACATTTTCTCATAATAAATAAAATAGAGTTTTTCACATAAAGGAAATAGCATGACTAATTCTAAAGTATTTCTGTTGAACTTTTAAGTTTATTTCAATATCGTATTTCTTTTAGCAACATAAAAGATTAAAAGAGAAATGTCGTAAATCAGTACAAATAAATAAGAGAAAATATATTCACATATTTCCTCTTATTTCAATTCTAAAATGTAATCCTAGAACGTCATAAAAACCACTTGAAAAAATGTGATCCTTTCTATAAAAAAAGGGACACTAAACACATGTTGACCAGACACGGACTTTTACTACCTTCAATAGAAAAGTCGCGTACAGGCTAAACAATAGACGAAAGTCTACAACGGAAATGCTTTGTATAAGAAAGCAATAAATAATTGAATAATTGTTTATGCACATGTTTTAGTATATTTACACATTTGTATGTAAGCGTTATTAATATTGTTAATTAATTAATAATTGATTATCAGAATATTATAATTTAATATTATTATAATTATATTATAATAATATAATTATGGATTAATCATGTAATGTTGTGATGATTAATGTTTATTATATTTTAATAAATAGTATGTTGTATGATGGGAGAGAATATGTATAATCTCTCTTATGTATGTGTGAACGTATGAGTAACACTTAGGAACGATGTGATAAGTGTTAGTGAAGTGATACACATAGGAGTAGCGAATACGCTCCATAGTGAAGCATGCGCACAAACTCAAAATGGACCAAAAGCGGAGAGCGACTCCGCTGGACCAAAAACTCTCTAAGTTAGTTCTAATCTTGACTCTGACTTGAAAGGTTGTTTTCTAAACTCCTTAGTCAGCTTGTATTCTATCATATTAATAAATTTACAGGGTTTTACCTTCGAAGGAAGAACTAATACTTATTCTTCCTTTGAACGGGTTTCCCTTCCGTTGTATCGGAAATTAATAATCTTTTATTTAAACCTTCCCGCTTCCTTCTTAAAGGATTTAACTAAAGAGAATCCGGCCAATCATATTACATTTTTAGAGTTGCGTAATAAAAGGTAACTCGGCTCGTAACAGTATACTCGGGAAGTATATAGTGTCCTTGTTTTTCCGTGCGAAAAAAGGATACTGCATACTTCCTAAGTATACACTTTATCAAAAGTGCGACAAAAATCCAAATTCGGAAACGGCCCCACTAAACTCTATATATCTGGAATGCTGTTTGCCATTGAAAGTCGCGAGCCGAGAGAGAAGTATATTCCCCTCTTTGTCGGTACAGGTCCATTAGAGACGCTTGCTTTTCACCGAACGGTCAATACGTCGAACAGACAAAATGTCGAATGGACAAAATGTCGAAAAGCCAATACGTCGAACAGGCAAAATGTCGAAAAGCCAATACGTCGAACTGACAAAATATCGATAAGCCAAAATATCGAAAAGCCAAAACATCGAACAGCCAATACGTCGAACTGACAAAATGTTCGATGTATTGACTATTCGACGTCTTGGCTTTTCGAGGTTATGGTTTTTCGACATTTTGTCTGTTCCACGTATTGACCGTTCGGTGAAAAGCAAGCGTCTCGTCCATTAGAAAATATTTAACAGTATGTATACGTGAACATGACATAACACAGTTAACAGTAAACTTTTGGAACGTATTGTTTACTAATTTGAAATCTTTTACTGCTGTGGTAATTCCTACTTAAAATATATATTTTATATCTTTTTAATAACATGCATACTTGATATTGTTTAATAATATTGTTAAAATGTAAAATGTGATTAGTAAACAAAATCCCCTAACCTCAAAATTTATATTTCATCACAAATTCAGAGAATCTATAAATGCAATTGAATCAAATATATAACAAAATTAATTATTAACTCACATTTTAATTTTATTAGATGTCAACAAGCGTTTTGCATATTTAAAGTATGAATAAAATTGATGAAAGTGGAAACTAATTTTATTCCTCATAAGAATAACATTGTGTCGTCTGTTTGTTGTCCCTCCGGGCCTCTGACGTCACACCTAGAATCGACTCTGACGTCACAAGTGACAGAGCCTAAGGCTGCAGTCCCATGGCAGCGTTTTGCGTTGCGTTTTGTCACTAGACCATGAGTGTAAAAGAGATGCAGATATATGTTTGCTATGTTTACACTCAGGGTCTAGTGACAAAACGCAACGCAAGACGCTGCCATGGGACTGCAGCCTAATAAGAACATTCAAACATCGATGTTCTGTATGCTAAATGAAACGAGCATAAGTTGGTTTCGCTTTGTTAAGGCCTTTCTCCAATAATAGGTTCCTAAATGTTTGCGTTGCGTGCACGTTGCATTGGTTCCCACAAGAAGACTAGAATAAGGAGGTCTAACTCAGGTAGTGGGGGTATGGTAAGTATACGTATGAAATTGGTAGTTGCAGTAGGCGGATTTTCGAGAAAGGCAGAGTGTGCGGTAGACTTCTGCGCATACCAATACATACAAGTTTCAGTAATTCTTGACAAGGCAACAAAAATGTATATGTATTGGTGTGCGCAGAAGTCTACCGCACACTCTGCCTTTCGGCCTACCTCGAAAACCAATTCTTTACGTACCCCCACTACCTGAGTTAGACCTCCTTATTCTAGTCTTCTTGGGTTCCCACACTGTAAAAAATCTATTTGGAGATTGTACATTCACAATTTGTATTTGTGTGAAAATTTGTAAAATTACTATATTCAATAAGGTTATGTTACTACATTAAAAAAAGCACTTTTACAATTTTCTGTTAATTTACTACTTTCAAAGTGGGTAATAGGTGACGGATGCAACAACTAATTATGTTTCACCTATTACCCACTTTGAAAGCAGTAAATTTACAGAAAATTGTAAAAGTGCTTTTTTTAATGTAGTAACATAACCTTATTGAATATAGTAATTTTACAAATTTTAACACAAACACAAATTGTGAATGTACAATCTCCAAATAGATTTTTTACAGTGCATGTAGTTTAGCGTTGGTGACGTCATACGTCTACGTGAACGCGACGTGCTGACGTCACAATGTTAATCAAAAGGCCTTTCTCCAATAGGATCTTAAACTCTTGCGTTGCGTATGCATTGCGTCGGTTGCTATTGGCAACCAATGCTAAAATCAACGCGTCAGTCACGCAACGCAAAAGTTTAGGTTCCTATTGGAGAAAGGCCTTAAATGGGTGACGTCAGGACGTCGCGTTCACGTTCGCGTCGCGTACCATGGATTGTAGAGCCGACTTTAAAGGCCTTTCTCCAATAGGAACCTAAACTTTTGCGTTGCGTGACTGACGCGTTGATTTTAGCATTGGTTGCCAATAGCAACCGACGCAATGCATACGCAACGCAAGAGTTTAGGATCCTATTGGAGAAAGGCCTTAAGAGGTGACGCGAAGCTTCCGTAAAGGTGGTTCCAGAAAGGCCTTTCTCCAATAGGATCTTAAACTCTTGCGTTGCGTATGCATTGCGTCGGTTGCTATTGGCAACCAATGCTAAAATCAACGCGTCAGTCACGCAACGCAAAAGTTTAGGTTCCTATTGGAGAAAGGCCTGAATAGGTGCAAAAGCTAAGTACAAGTGCAAGTCCAAGTGGCAATCTCATGAGTGAGTGCGAAGGGGATAGGTAGTCTATCTATCTATCTCTCTTGCACTCATGGGATTTGCATTTGGACTTGCACTTGTACTTGGCTTTTGCACCTATTGTAGAACTTTGATAATACATTTCTCCTGAAGTCTATTCTCCATGGTGTGCTCTATCAGATTTACGATTAGAGATTTCATTCTGCTTAGGTGTAATATCATAATGAGACTATTATGCGTTGGCCCTTAAACTGCTTGTCAAAAATGCCAGGTGTCTATCTACTCATGTTTACTGCGTATTTCGTGGTTTTCAGTGTGTTTATATACTTCTTCAAACAAAATTTTATTGACCCTGAAATTTAAGGAATATAAAATTCATATTCATTTAAGTTTTATGATAAAGTTTAATGTTTGAAAATAGTCAATTTATAGACATTATCAGACACTAATGCATATGTGTAGAAATTGCTGTTATTAGTTGCTATAAGAATGGGCGCTGAAAGGAACTTTGCTCTTATTAGGTTAAGTTTACATCGGATATTAAACCTATAGATGAATTGGTATATGACTGACCGCTCCCGTTCACTAACCTAGGTTAAGGAATTACTTAATAGGTTTGAATTCTTTTTAATGTGATAAAAGGAGATTCCAACAATTATAAGACTGTCTTTAATACTTTTTCAAAGAGACCAAATAAATTCCACAATTAAGAAAATGAATATAAATTTTTAAGAAAAAAAGTGTACATATTTGCGAATGTTTACTTCGTTATAATAATACAATATATATAGTAATATTAAACTGTATTAAAAAATCTCTTCCATCATCTTACGAAAATGAGTACATGGACTGAAAGAATACACCGTCGTGCAGCTACATTTGGAAATGTTGTTGCAAGTTGTGGTCATCCTTCCTCTGTATCTCCTTATTCCAGACGACTTGAAAAGTTAGTATTTTCTTCTATAACCTCACTTATTCCATTTCTACGTATTTATCTCACCTTAATTTAATATAAAAGTGGATTTAAATCATTGAAAAAACTATTGTAAAAAATACCTGAGATTTAAAAATGGTAAACCAAATCTATTTATACCCTGCAAAAAATACGACATGTATAATAATAATTTATTTCATTTGCTTCTGAAGTTGGTTGCCACAAGAATAAATTTTTCATTTTTCATGACATTAAACATTTTTTTTATTAAATTTAATTAATTATAATAGAAATTTAACAAATAATTTGAAGTTAGAAAAAGGTTGTAAAAAACGGTAGTTAAAACCAATTAACGTGGAAAATAATTAATTTGTATCTATTCAAATTTTGTTAATTTTAAGTTTTGATCGATTGAATTTGCTTTTGATTAAAATTTTAATTATTAAATCTGATTTGACCAATAAAAATTAGAACTTATTGTAAATTGGATCACTTGAAATTTAAATTATTAGCGACTTAGTCGATCACTTTGCGGTCAATTTCAATGTTCTTTTCCCTTATTAATTATGTCAACTTTTTTTAATTTTTATTAAATTTTGATATTAGAACTTATTGGTATTTATTATTCTAATAATGTATAATAATATAATACTGTATAATCGAATGTTTAATTTAATTAATTTATATGGAACTCCAATTGTATAGATTTGTGTGTGTGTGTGCATATATTACATATTTTCATAAATATCTCAAATACTATAAGAGCTAAAGGAAAACATGTCTTACTGGCTTAGGGGCCATACTTTAATTACGTAACGCTTTTTCTTAGAAATTTGAACCCTCTCGCCCCCTGTAACAGATTTCTGTATACATTAGCGCCATTTTTTTGCTGTGTGTATAGACCTGAGCAGAATAGAAACGTAACCGGAATCGCAAACGCAACCGGAAGAATGAGTTAGAGAAGGATAGATAGATTGTTTGTCCTTCTCTAACTTATTCTTCCGGTTGCGTTTACGATTACGATTCCGGTTACGTTTCTATTCTGCTCAGGCTTTAACAAATAGCTTGACCCCCCTCCCCTATGAAGCGTTACGTAATTAAAGTATGGTCCCTTACAAATAATGAGAGTACATTGAGAAGTCTGGCTAGATCACATAAAAAAACACTTCAAAAACGTCTAAAATATACTTTTTATTAGCCTAAAAGTTAGTGCTTAAAAATTAGCACATAAAAAAGATTATTCATTAATTATTTATTTAAAAAAAATTACTTCCTCGGCTTCACAGTGAGTCAGAAATGCTAATTTTTTCTCCAAAATTGAGGAGCCGGATCGTAGAACCGATTCTTCACTAATGCGCAAGTCCCCCGCGCAGCTGAAAGCTGGCTCACTTGAGGGACTCCGGAGAGAGCGAAGAATCGGTTCTACGATCCGGCTCCTCAATTGTTAATATAGATAATACTCAGAAATCAGGAAATATACGGCTACCAGGTATGCATTTTATTGTTTTCGGGGTTGCTGATTACGAATATGTAAAAATATAAAATGGCAGATTCAATATGGTGTATAAAGAATGGACTGATTTTCATAAAATTTGAAATTTAAATATTTTTTGTCTCTATATCCTAATATATCAAAATTAAAAAATAGAAAAATTCAATATGACTTGCTCAAAATGCCTTATAAATTAATAAATTAAATTAATTAGGGTCAGTTGGGGTAAATCGAAACAGTAGTTAATTCAGTTAAATAAAATTTTTTAAAATAAATATGGCCTTAAACCTTGATCTTTAGATCACCCCCAACATGTTCTAAGTATTCTCCCATTTTCCGTTTGTCAATTAGAAGCAATACATACAAAATTATTTCCTATTGCATAAAAAATTGAAAATCAAAGATGACACCCTTTCACTTTTTTGACTCGCATTTGAAAAAAAATAAACTAAAAATTCAAATTATTATTTATAATTATCTTTTATTCATACTACAACACAAATTAACTTTGATTTTTTCATTTTGCAAAATTCAATTAAAAGTAGGAGACTGTTTCTATTTACCCCTAAAAACTGTAAATTCGGGATAAATAGAAACTGAAATTTCAACAATATTTCTTATATTAGAGAGAGAGAAAATTGTTTCTTTCAACTGCAACACTATTTTCAGCATTATAAAAATGCATTGCAAATAGTATTCATCTATATTCTCATCAGTACATAGTATTTAACATGATTTATTATTAAACTTATGTAATGCATTATTATTTATTAGTTTGAATTATTTTATAACTAACAGCATTTTTACGTAATTCTTTGTATTTTTTAACATTTGCATATTTCAAATTAAGTTTTTCTTAAATTTTGTAAGAAATAATGACTGTTTCATATTTACCCCTAAATTTTATCAAAGTTGAAAAATTTAGGTGTAAATAGAAGCAGTTGATTATTGCGATTTAATGATACCCATATTTTCTACTACTATTTCTAGGTATATAATTGGTGAAACTTATCAAATCTGTTTCTATTTACCCCAACTGACCCTATAAATAATTAATTATTTAAATAAATAATAATTAATATTTTTTACTTTTAAATTACTAAATATTCGTATTATTAAAAAAAAATGTATTGACACCTATAGACATTTATATTTAGTTTCTTGAGTTTTTCAAGACGCCATTTTGAATTTTTAAAATCTGATTTTATATTCGTAATCAGCGAGCCAAAAAACCCCCGAGTAACAAATTTTAAACGATTCCTATTATTTTTAAACAAGTTAAAACAAGTTGTAAATTTAGGTGTTCATTATATGAACATTTTGCTTCCTCTTTACGATCAGCAAAAAAATTTGCTTCCTCGTGGAGAAAGCATTAACATTGAAATAAACATACAAAAATAATATAATAAAAAAAAAATTTTTTAATTTCAATTTTTTATTAAAAATAAAAATAAATTTTATAAATATTGGTAAAATGTAAACTTTATATACATCAATCGATTTGTTTTGATGCCAGGAATACAACTCCGACAAAATTTATTAAAAATTTTCATGAAGAAAAAAGTTATTTCAAAAATTAAGAAAAACGATTTTTTTCAAAAATTAAAAAATGATTTAATTCATGAATTCTAAGTGAAATAGATAAAATAGTAAAATAGACTTTATATAGGTTAATCAATTAGTTTAAATGCAAGAAATTAGTTTTTGGAAAAAAAATTAAATTTATAGTATAAAAAATTTTTTTTTTTAAAACGTATTTTCGAATTTTTAAAAAAGTGAGATAAAAAAAATTGTGTGGATATTTTTGGAAATCCTTGTGTCTGATTTTAGATATTGATGACTGCAATAAGCCTACAAAATATCAGGACAATCCATCAAAGCGTGTTGGAGATAATTTGTACACAAGATTTTGTGACATACACACATACAATAGGAAATGCAAACGCTCAGAATATACAATTCAACACTTTTTTAAATATTATTATAATAATAAATAAATTACCATAAGTCCTATGTTGAAACAGTATTTTTCCTTCTTTTTCGGATATTTCTTTCCTACCAATATTGATGAAAGGTCTATTTCCTTCAGTAATTTTTTCGAAACGTGAAGACTAATTTTCGTATTGCTATAGGAAAATTTTTTTTCTTTTTTTTCGAAAAAATTCCTTCTAACATATTCTTAAAAAAATCATATTATTGTCGGGAAATTTTTCAAAATTTCAAAGAATAGTTTACGTTTTATGTGGAAAAAAGTATTTTTTCACCTTTTTCGGACATATTTCCTACCAATATAAGTGAAAAGTCAATTATTTTCGGCAATTTTTCCGAATAATTTCCAATTTTCTGTGGAAAACTATTTTTCCTTTTTCTTGGAAATAATTCCTAATGAACATTTAGAAAATCTGTTTCACTCTTCATTTCATTATTCACTTTTATCAGAACCTCAAAATTAATAAAAATTTATTTATTATTATTTCGGGAGATAGAATTTGATAGAACATTTATCAAAACCTTTAATAGAGATTAATAGATTTATTTGCTGATATGATTGAATAGACACTCAATACAAACCCTTTGATATAAAACTATGAAAAAATATTAGAAAAAACCTATATTAATTATTATTTCAGTATGGAATGATGTTATAATTTTATTATGTTATTATGTTATTGAATTTTTCTTTTTTCTTATATGTAATTTTTTTCTGTATCTATCTATTGTAGAAATCTCGTAATCGATCACCCCATGAAAAAATGTACATTTTTTGAAAATGTTGTAAATCGCCGCCATCTTGGACTACAAGTGAAAATTTTTTTTTTTATATTCTTCAATAAGTTATTTATTACATTTAAACAAAAATTTCTGAATAAATTTCATGGTTTTTTTTAGAAATACATCCTAAAAAAGCCTTCTTTTTCCCCGTTTTGAACTGGAATGTCCCCTTAAGCGGATAGAAATTCAAAAAATTTTTATCATAAATCATAATATCAAATAATTAGGGTTAGTTGGGGTAAATGGGGGCAAGAGGTTTTGGAGCTTAATTTACAGTTTTAAAATTAAGTTCAACAATTGGCAGCAAGATAATTCAAGTTATCGCACAATGCATACAAACTTGAAAATCAAAGTCAAACTGTTTCAGTATTTTGTCTCGCATTTCAAAGAAAATAGACTTAAAAATCATACCTAATTTTTTTCTTATTCCTTATGACTCCTATAACAGAAATTCACTTGAATTTTTGATTTTTATCAATTTGATTAATAATGACAAGCAGTCCACATTTACCCCAAACATTTGAAAACTCAGGGTAAATGGGGACAGCTTGTCATTATTAACTAAATTGATAAAAATCAAAAATTCAAGTGAATTTCTGTTATAGGAGTCATAAGGAATAAGAAAAAAATTTGGTGTGATTTTTAAGTCTGTTTTTTTCAAATGCGAGACAAAATACTGAAATAAAAAAAAAATAAAAAATTTCAATTGGTTCAACTATTATATATCTACTACAAATTTTTTTTCAAGTTTTTTCATCCCTCAATACAGTAATATACTTGAGAAAACTTTTTTCTTAAAATTTTCTTAGAAACTATACTGTCCCCATTTACCCCAAATTTTATGAAATTTTCTAAATTTTGGGGTAAATGGGGACAGTCAGTTTCATACATTTAAGGCTTATCTAAATTTTTTCCTGCTGCATAAAATTAATCCTGGGAACGTAAATAACAACTTAAAAAAAATAAACCCGCAAATATTACATTTTAAAGGAAGAAACTTATGTAATTTGTGAAAAATAGCGATTTTGTTCCCATTTACCCCAACTGACCCTAAATTTTCTTTTATTATTAATTTTGATAGAAATTGCATCCAAACTTATGATTGATATTGATTTGTTTTTCAATTTTGGACAAAACTGTATAGGATTTTCAATATTTGATTAAATTTGATTAAACTTTCAATATCTACATGACAGAAATTCTATGATATTCTATCCTTATAAATAATTTTTTAAAGCAAGGTAAGAAAGCGAAAGTTTAAATCCTAATTTTTATTGGCATCCCCTTTATAGAAAGAAAAATGTTTGCTTGTGGTGTAAAAAAGTTAAACTTGATAAAATATTTAATATTTTAAATTGACATTATTTGATTGTCGTGTTTATATCTGTGTGCACCTTTTTCGGCATTTCTGAGATTTATAAATTGATTACCTTTTATGGTTAATCAAATAAATTTAATAAATGAAATTAAGATAATAATGAGATAGTTGTAATTAACAATTTGAATTTTTCCGCCAGAAGAACATGCGCATTCATATTCGCGCACTTTTACCGTGTGTGGTCGGTATAATAGAGTTCTTGTCACTTTTAAGAAAACTTATTTTTTAATTAATTTGCAATTATTATGAATCCAATATGGAGGACAAAATTTTCAATAATTATTTGGATTTGCTTAAAAATTGGTATCCGGGGTTATTCGTTGTCGCTACTTACGAATTCGATATTTGTTTTTCTAAATTAAAAATGGCGGATACAGTATGGCGGACGATTTTTTAAAAAATTATTGGGTGATTTCGATGTTCACACTCTGAGCGCTCTGAAAAATCAAGGTGTGATTGGACAATTCTGGTAAAACTTGCTTTATAATTGATTGCTATACATATATTCGCATTCAGAGGAAAATGGACCCCAGATAACAAACGTGTCCGGCACAGTCATGTGAAGTTGGCACCAAAATATTAAAAAATGAAAAATCCACAATGAGTTCTGGGTATATTAGCAATAGTTCTAGAGTTCTATAAATTTTAAAACAATAGTTCCGTAGATTTAGACCAAAAAATACGATATTAAAAAAAAAGGTGCTAACTTCACCCAGCACTATAATTTTTGCATAAAATAGTTCTGACATATTATTCCGGTAAAAATACAGAGTTCTAAAGTTCTCTTATTAAACAAAAAATAAATTTCAAGTTTTAGTCCATTTGACCAAATTTCTGGCATCTTCATCAAGAGTTCTACAACTTATCCTTATGAAATTTTACTCTAAATTAAAAATCAAAAAAAGTGCTAAACTTTAAAATTTTTTAAAAAATTTTCCTCCAAAAATTTTGAGTTTTCAAAAAACTCATTTTCCTAAGTTCTGATATGAGGTTTAGCATCTCCGTAAAGAGTTCTACGATTTATCCTTATAACATTTTACTCAAAATTTAAAATTAAAAAAAATTGTTGAACTTTGATATTCTCAAAAAAAAAATTTTTTTTATTAAACTTTTTATGAGTTTTGAGTGGTTCTAACAGAGTTCTAAGGTTCCCTATGTTTTTCAAAATAGTTCTGCACATATACAGTCGAAAAATTTTTTACTTTTATAAATTTTGCTTCCTCGTGGAGGAAGCTTTGTAGTCCTTTCATTTATAAAACTTTTCAAAGTGGCGGAAACAAATTTTTTTCTTTATAGAAACATGTTATATGAGATCCTGATCAATTGTCCGGATGTATGTATGTGTGTGTGTGTGTGTGGATCCCTTTTTTGTTTAGAAGATAACTTTAACAGGTTTTAATGGATTTAGATAAAATTTGGTAGGCTCATTTATCATATTAATATCTCAAATCTGACCAAAGGATTTTGAAAAATATCCCAAAAAAAAATTTTATCGTCTTTTTTCCAAAAATTTTTTTTTAATCGAAAAAATTTTTAAATAGAAAAATTTAAGGTTATATATAATAAAATCGTTTTCCTTACGTCAAGACGAATCGATCGATATATATAAAGTATACATTTAAGGTAAATTTAAAGAATTAATGAAAGTAAAAAAATCAAAATTTCACATTTAGGCTATAAAATTTTGTGATTTTTTAAATTGAAGTTTATATATGAAATAATTGTATTCCTTACGTCAAGACGAATCGATCGATATATATATATAAAGTATACATTTGAAGTAAATTTAAAGAATTAATGAAAGTTAAAAAATCAAAAATTGACATTTTGGCAATAAAATTTTGCTTTCTCCACGAGGAAGCAAATTTTTTGCTGATCGTAAAGAGGAAGCAAAATGTTTATGTAATGAACATCTGAATTTACAACTTGTTTATATTACGAGTTGCTCAAGTTCTGATGGGAGTTGTTACTGACGGATTTCCGTAAATTTTTATTTTTTTTTGTTAAATATTTATTAAAAATAATATTTGTTTAATTAATGTTACAAAATGTTGTCAATTATAAACCAACAACATATACAACACAAACACACACACATATTAAGTTTCTGATACTAGAATATTCAAATAATATTTCTAATTAATTTAATAACTATTTATAATTTTATTTTTCATTTATTTTAATTTTTAAATCAATGGTTATTTCGCAAATGATTTCAGATTATTGAACTTCATATTGCGAAATAATTTGAACTAAATTGTCAATCGATTTCGCTAATTGTGGGACTTACAATGTATAGAAGTTGCCACATTAATTTGGAAAATTAGGAAACATATAAATCATAAAGGTAATTCTGGTGGTTGAACCGATCACGCCACGATTAAAATGCAAGTTTTGCTAAAACTCTCATGGAAACAACGAGGTGTTGATTGCAAAATCAACCCTCCCACTACTAAAAATAACATACAAACAGGGTGTGATCGTTGCCACCGAATTATTCTTCGGGGAGTCTTAATTTGTTTTCCCCGCAGAGCAGATGTGTTTTCCCTCAAAAAGGCGGACGATTATTAAAATTTTACTCCCACTGAGAGTGGTTGAGATTGTTGTTTGTTCCCCGCAATATGGGTTGAAATTGTTGAATTTATTTATAAAATACAAGTGAATATTCTACAATTAGTGAAATCTATTGAGTTATAAAAGATCGTTTAAAAAAAAGGAAATTTAATTATACAATTATAAAGAGTCATAAATGATAAAAGTGTAGAAACCAGTTAAATTCAGAAGGTGTTGATTTATTACAACAATTGTTTATATCTCAAAATTAACTGTTTGGAAAATTCACGTTAGTGAACCCAATATTCTG